ACTTTGGATGGAGTAATGTCAGAGTTTAATGCCATATACCTTGATTGTTTTTCTTTTTCTTTTCAGAGCGGTTTAGGTCAAAGTGTGTGAATTAACTCACCATGGAAGGTGAGTTAGGATCAGTAACACTGGCTCAACGGTAAAGGCCCATTGTTGAAAAGAGGAAAGCCTTAAACACAAATAAAAATGACTAGAGATGGGAAAAAATCTACAGCTAATTGTTAAGCTGCAAACCTCTCCTGGGGCTGTAATATACTCTTTGCAGGGTACTTTATAGTTGGCAAAGGACTCCTGTTTGCACTATTCCTGTTCACTCTTCTCAGCAACCCTGGAGTATGTGGGCATTGTTGTACCATGTTATGGAGCTGGAGTATGAAGCTCAGGGACTGTGTGACTGGCCCAGGGCCACACAGCCAGGAGGCGGCTGCACCTGGGTTTGAGAAGAGGCGGAGTGACTGGAAACCCCGGGCCCTTCCCGACACCACACGGCACCTGGGCACACGCCGCATGGCCATCTCTGCATGAAGGTCCACAGCCGGGGCCCATTCCTGGTATTTCTGGGGCCGAGTAGAGACCTCACGAGGGAAGGAGATTCGTAGATGCTGCTAATGAAGATGAGGAGGAAAATCAAACCCACCGTTCAGCTTTTAGCAAGCTGGAGTTTGATAGCAGGGGAGTTGATCAGTCTTTACAGCAGGAGACCACCACTAGGGGCAAGTTCCTCCATTCTTTGTTTCCAGATAAGCAGAGAGGGTCTGTCTCTAGAACCTAATCCCAGAAAATGGATAAAGCAGTGGTTCTCAGGTGTGATCTCTGGACCAACAGCATCGGCATCTCCTGGGAGTTTGTTGGGAATGAAAATTCTGGGGCTCCATCCTAGACCTTCTGAGTCAGAAGCTCTGAAGCTGAGGCTAGCAATCTGTGTTTTGACAAATTTAATGCACATTAAGGTTTGAAAACTGCTGTGATAGAGAATCCTGAGGTGAAATCCAAGTACATACTTGGGTTTAGAGTTTCTTCTGAAACAGGAGAAGAGCTGGGGAAGGTGAGGGGTTTGGAGCATCACAGCCCAAGAAGCTGTGGTCTCTGTCCCCTGCCGAGCACTGCGTCATGGGAGCTTGCACGGTCCACCCTGTGCAAAGGCCACTGGGGTGCAAAGTTGAGGCAGCACTTCCCTGCTCACCTGCAGCAGCTCCCCTTCCTGGGCGGCAGGACCCCAGCCTGGGGATACGCCGTACCTCACCCCTCTCTGCTGTCATGGCTAAGAAGTCTTCTCTAAACTGTGTCTTCATCCCTTATCCTAAAGTCCAGCAAACAGTCTTCTATCTGCTATGTATTCTTTTCTGATCATTTATAATCAGAACAACCCTAACTGCTTCAAGAGTAGTTGACATTTTTGGAAACTGCAATGATACACAAATGTAGATCAACAAGTATGCTTAGAGGACGGTTTAGACACCAGCAGGGTGGCTGACTGTGATGGAGAAGGCACCATCCGAGTAGAGAGGGGGAGAGTTAACCTCAGAGTCACACACACACACATACACATGCCTGGAAAGATGCATGACAATAATGAATACCATAGGCATAGAAATAGTGGCATCGAAGGACAGCACTATGACAGCATTTGGCTACCAGACTGGTGTCATAGACTGCAGCCTGGTAGGCAATGGCCTGCCATGGCCTCAGGAGAACCTGCTTCACTGGGAGGGGCCTCCAGTCCTGCTTCTGCACTAGCAGCACTGCTGGAAAGCCACTTCTCTGTTCCAGTCAGCTTGGCATCCTGGCTATTCCTTGAAGAATTCAGGCACCTGCCCCAGGGCCTTAGCACCTGCTCCTACCCCATCTGGAGTGCTTGTCCTCCTCAGATCATCATGGCTAGTTCCCTCCTTTTCCTTACAACTTCTCAGGGCAGACTTAATTTTAAACCAATAAACACATATGCATGCACATACCCTTCCCTATACTTCATATCCCCCTTTCTTGCTTTATGTTTTCTTTAGCACTTATTACTCTCTAGCTTACTACATATTTTATCTACTTACCTTGCTTCATGTCTATTTTCTTCTGTAAAATGAACAAGGACCCCGTTGGTTGTAAGTGAGAAAATCTCATGTGAAGCTGCTTACACCAAGGGTCCTGTCTTAACAGGTGCTCTGGGTGCTCCCTCCTTGTAAGGGCTGAGACCTGAGCCTAGGAGGCCAACCAAGATGCTTTAAGGGTAGGGTTGCCACATACAATTCAGGATGGCCAGTTAAAGTAGAGTTCCAAATAGACAACACCTGATTTTTTAGTATAAGGGATACCCCTGCTTCTCCCATCTGCTTGTCTTTCTCTGCACATCTGCCTCATTTTTCTTCTTCCCTGCAGGGTGGGTTTTGGTTTCTCAGGCTACCTGGAGGGAAACGTTTGCAACCAGCAGTCCCAATCTTGTTACAAAGGAGCTCATCAGTTGCAAAGGAGCAGTCAAACAAAGACCATAGCATATTCATCCCAAAGCTCAGGAAGGAGATTGTCAGCTCAGTTTGGGTGAAAGCTTCCTGTCCACACAACCCATGCAGTGAAGCCACACTGTAAGGCGACAGCTGCCTCCACTGTGACCACATGGATTGAGGCAGCTGGGGTGGGGGGAGTCAGTTCTCAAAAAAGTAACAATGCTTGAGGGACCAAACAAGAACTGAATACACAAAGGGAATTTTGTTTTCCTAGATACAAAAATCACATTATAATGATGTAATAATCAATACTGGCTGGTTTAAATGCAAGAATAACAAATACATGGAAAAGAATTGAGTTCCAAGAGAGATTCATGGAGATACTGCCATTTGGTCAGTAACAAAGGTGACATTTCAAATCACTGGGAAAAGGATGCACTTGAGATGTCCAATAAAATATGTAGCAAGAACTGGTCTCTCTGTATTCCCTGATGGGAGCACATTTAATAAGTTAGTCCTGGATGCTGGACAGGCAAGGGTCCAGGAGAGTGGTGGGAAGACGTGCTGATGATGAGTGAGGATGATTTCTTTTAGGTATTTGTATGAGTGGGGAAGAGAAGCACATTGCTGGAGAATGGGGTGGGATCAAGGCAGGGTTTATTGTTTTTGCAGAAAGGAAAGGCATATAATGTGATGAAAAGAGCCTAGTGAACAGGAAAAGGTTACAACTGAACGAGAGAAAGAGTATAGCTATAGCAGAAAGTTGCCAAGAGTGAGGATGGGGTTCCTGGTAAGGGCACGTTTGCTGGGAAGGAGACCTTCCTTCCTCTGTACCTGGATGGCAGAAGAGGGCACTGGAGATGCAGGCAGGCAGATCTGTTGGAGGGATGCTGAGAAAAAGCCACATAATGATTTCCGTGGTTTCTCCGGGAAGCAGGAGCACAGGTCAGTGTACAAATGTTGTGGGGTGGGGGGATGTGGAGAGGCAGAAGTTTCTGGAAAGGGGAAACTGTTTGCTCTGCAGAGTGGGGAGGTGGCTGTCTAGAGCAGTGCTCCTCACACTTGAGAATGGATCAGAGTCTCCTAGAGGGATTGTTAAGGCACAGGTTCCTGGGCCCACCTCCAGAGCCCCAGAATTTGCATCTCTAACAAGTTTCCAGCCAACACTGATGCCGCTGGTTCCTTGCCTCCAACTTTGAGAACCACTAATCTAGAGCAGGGGAAGGAAGGCAGGAATGCTGAGGTGAAGCTAAGGATCAGGAAGGTCTCTTTTTGTCTACCTACCTTACCCTGAGATGCAGACACATCTAATACAGGGGATTGTGCTCATTCAGGACTGGGATTCTATGAAGGGGCACCAAGAAAAGAAATAGGATAATGGAGCTTAGGAAACGTGAATGGGAGTGATTGATCCTAGCTAGGTATAGAGGGACCTGAAGAATAGCGGGGAGGATCCAAGATGGCCAAATAGGAACAGCTCCAGAGTGCAGTTCCCAGCAAGAACAACGCAGAGGGTGAGTGCCCACTGCATTTCCAAACAAATTTTCACTGCCCAAAGACCAGGAGATTCCCAGGCCGAAAAGCGCCCCAAGTTTTCAGCATGGCAGTTTCAGCTGGTGCCAACTTGGTGCACAGAAACTCACACAAATCTGGGCAGCCGTTTCAACTGGCACCTGGAATGCCTGGGAGACAGAGCCACCCATTCAACTGAAAGGGAGGGGGCAGAGACAGGGAGCCAGGCAATCTGGCTCCGTGAGTACCACCCCCACAAAACAAGCAATCTGAAACGCTCTGGATTGAGAATTTCACAGCAAGCGCAGCTGGACCCAGGATGGTCCAGCTCAGTCGGGGGAAGGGTGACCACCACTACCAAGGCAGTCCACCACTACCGAGGCAGTTCACACAGCAGCTGGGCAGAGCCTGCGGCAGCTCAGCAACACCTCTGCTGGCAGACTGTGACTAGACTACTCCGTGTGGGGCAGGGCATCTATGAAAAAAGACAGTAGCACAACAGGAACTCATAAATAAAGCTGACCTTAATAGGACAGAGCACATGGGAAAAGACGCAGTTATGAGTTGCGTTGCAGCAGACTTATTAAAAGTACCTGCTCAGCATCTCTACACAGAACAACAGGGCTCCCAGCATAACACTTGAGCTCCTGTAAGGGACAGACTGTCTCTTCAGGCAGCTCTCCAACCCCTGTATACCCAGAGAAACCTCACAAAGGAGAGCTGAGGCTGACATTTGGCAGGTACCCTTCTGGGATGAAGATAACAGAAGAAACCGGCAGCAACTCTTACAGTTCTGCAGCCCCCATGGGTGATCCCCAGGCAAGCAGAGTCTGGAGTGGACCTCCAGCAGTCCTGCAGCAGAGGGATCTGACTGTTAGAAGGAAAACTAAGAACAGAAAGAAATAACTTCACCATCAACGAAAAGGACGTCCACTCAGAGACCCCATCAAAAAGTCACCAACTACAAAGACCACAAGCAGATAAAGCCACTAAGATGGGAAGAAACCAGCGCAAAAAGAATGAAAACACCAAAAACCAGAACGCCTCTCCTCCTCCAAAGGATCACAGCTCCTCACCAGCTAGGGATCAAAGATGGATGGAGAATGAATCTGATGAATTGACAGAAACAGGCTTCAGAAGGTGGGTAATAACAAACTTCTCAGAGCTAATCTGCTTTTTAAAAAAGATTCTTAACGTGCAAGTTTAGATCAATTATTTAGAACATTCTTCTTTTCCAAAATAAATATTTAAAATGATAAAGTTCCTTCTAAGCACTGCTTTAGCTACATCCCATAATTAAAAATATATATTTATTTATTTTTAAATTGACAGTGTAATTGTACACATTTATAGGGTACACTTTGATGTTTTGATACATATCTATATTGTATAATAATCCAATCAAGGTAGTACATCCATTGCCTCATGAATTTATCATTTCTTTGGGGTGAAGACATTTAAAAGTCTCTCTTCTAGCTGTTTTATAATATACAATATTGTACTGTTAGCTAGTGTCATCCCACCATGCAAGGAAACACCAGAATTTATTTCTCCTATCTGATTGTAACTTTGTATTTGTTGACTAACCTCTTCTCCCCTCATCCCTCCCTTCGTCCTAACCATTGTTCTACTTTCTGCTTCTGGGATATGAGTTTCTTTTTCCTGCTTCTGGGATATCAATTTTCTTTCCTAAGTATGAGTGGGACCATGCTGTATTTGTCCTTCTATATCTGGCTTCTTTCACTTAACATTATGTCTTCCAGGTTTAACCACGTTGTTGCAAATGACAGGATTTCATTCTCCTTTACAGCTGAATAGTATTCTATTCCGTATATATACCACATTTTTTAACTTGCTCATCTGTTGTCGGACACTAGGTTGATTTCATATCTTGGCTATTGTAAATAGTCCTGCAATAAACACGGGAGTGCAGATATTAATATTTCTTTGACATACTGATCTCATTTCCTTTGGATATATAACCAGTAGTAAGATTGCTGAATCATATTATAATTATATTTTTAATTTTTTGAGAAACCTCCATAATATTTTCCATAATAACTGTTCTAGTTTACAATCCCACCAACAGTTTGTAAGTGTTTCCTTTTCTCTACATTGTAACCAATACTCATTTTCTTTTGTCTTTCTGATAATAGCCTTCTAACTGGGGTGAGGTGGTATTTCAGTGATTTTGATTTACATTTCCCTGATCATTAATGATGTTGAACTTTTTTTTTCATACGCCTATTGACAATTTCATGTCTTCTTTTGAGGAATGTCTGTTAGAGTCTTTTGCCTATTTTAAAAATTGAATTATTTGTTTTTCTGCTGTTAAGATCCTGATATATTTTGGATATTAATCCTTTGTCAGATGTATAGTTTGCAAATGTTTTCTCCCATTTTGTAGGTTGTGCCTTCACTCTGTTAATAGTTTTCTTTGCTATGCAAAAGCTTTTTAGTTAGTTGCAGTCCCATTTGTCTATTTTTGCTTTTGCTGCCTGTACAAATGTCTTATTTTAAATATCCTTGCCCAGGCCAATGTCATGAAGGTTTCCCTTATGTTTTCTTTTAGTAGTGTCATAGTTTTGGGTTTTACATTTAAATCTTTAATCCATTTTGAGTTGATTTTTGTAAATGGTGATAGGTAGGGGGTCTAGTCTCATTCTTCTGCATATGGATATCCACTTTTCCCAGCAGTATTTATTGAAGAGACTGTCTTTTCCCCAAGTATGTGTTCTCAGCTTTGTTGAAATTAAGTTGGCTGTAGGTGTGTAAATTTATTTCTGGGCTCTCTATTCTGATCCATTGGTCTATGTGTCTGTATTTATGCCACTACCATTCTGATTTTGTTACTATAGTTTTGTAGTATCAGTCAGGTACTACTTTGTAGTATCAGTCAGGTACAAACCTCCAGCTTTGTTCTTTATGCTCAGGATTGTTTGGGCTATGCAGGGTCTTTTGTGATTCCATATAAATTTTATGATTGTTTTTTCTACTTTCATGAAGAATGTCATTGTTATTTTGAAAGGGATTACATTAATTCTACAGATTGCTTTGTGTTGTATGGCCATTTTTACAATGTTGAAGTCCCCTATTATCACTGTATTACAGTGTATCTCTCCATTTAGGTGTAATAATATTTGCTTTATAAATTTGGGTGTTCCATTATTGGATAGTATAACAATTGTAAGCATATCTACTTACAACTGTTACATTTTCTGTTGAATTGATTCCTTCATCATTATCATCTTTCTATAATGAACTTGTCTCTTTTTATACGTTGTTTTTGTTGTTGCTGCTGTTTTTTGAGACAGGGTCTGGCTCTGTCACCCATGCTGGAGTGCAGTGATATGATCTTGACTCACTGCAACCTCTGCCTCCTGGGCTCCAGCCATCCTCAACTTCATCTGAAGTCAACTTCAGCTTCCCAAGTAGCTGAGACTACAAATGCTTGCCACCACACTTGGCTAATTCTTTTGTATTTTTTGTAGAGACTAGGTTTTACCACGTTGCACAGGCTGGTGTCAAACTCCTGAGCTCAAGCAATCTGCCTGCCTTGGCCTCCCAAAGTGCTGGCATTGCAAGCATAAGCCACCATGCCTGGCATCTTTTTACAGTTTTTGACTTAATGTCTATTTTATCTGATGTAAATATGGCTACTCCTGCTTGCCTCTGGTTTCCATTTGCATAGAATATCTTTTTCCATCTCTTCACTTTCAGTCTATGTTTCTGTCTTTAATGATCAGGTGAGTCTACAAGACTAGAGAGTACAAAGTTGAGTCTTGTTTACTTAGCCGCTATATCTTTAAATTTGAGAATGTAATCCATTAACATTCAAAGGCTGTTATTGATAGATAAGAACTTACTCCTGACAAAAATGTCAATTGTTTTCGGTAATTTTGTAGATTGTTTCTTCATTCCTCCTTTTCTTGTTTACTTCTGTGATTTGGTGGTTTTCTGTAGTTTCTCTTTCTTATTTGCATATCTGCTGTAATTTATTTATTTGTGGTTACCATGGGGCTAATGTGAGTCTTGTAAGCATAATAGACAATTTTAAGCTGATAGCAACTTAACTTTGGCTGCATAAAAGTATTCATGCCCCTTTCCTTTCCCACAGTTAATATTTTTGTTGCCTTAATTTACTTCTTTATCCATGATGTGTTCCCCAGCCACTAATTGCAGTTGTTATTTTTTAACCATTTGACTTTAAATCTTCATACTAGAAGACTGAGAGTTTTAGATAGCGCTATTATATCCCTGAGTATTTTTAGACTGATTTATGAAATTACCTCTATATTTTAATGTGTTTTTAATAACAGTAATTATCATTCTTTTGTTTCTTTTTGTAGCACTCCTTTAAGCATTTCTTGCAAGGCTGCTCTTCTTCATTTCTGAGGGATAACTTTGTAGGACATAATATTCTTGGTTGACAGTATTTTTTTTCTTTCAGCACTTTGAATATGTCATATCATTCTTTCCTGGTAAGGTTTCTGCTGAGAAATATGCTGACACTCTGATAGGAATTCTCTTATATGTGACTTGACACTCTTCTCTTGTGGCTTTTATAATTTTCTCTGTCTTTGACTTTTGACAGTTTGATTATAACGTTCCTCAGATAATCTTTTTGGGTTGAATCTAGTTGGAGACCTTTGGGCTTCCTGAATCTGGATGTTCATATCTCTTACAATATTTGAGAAGTTTTCAGCTATTATTTCATTAAATTGGTTTTCTGTGACTTTCTTTATCTCTTCTCATTTGGTATTTCTATAATGTGAATATCTGTTCACTGAATGGTGTCCTATAGGGTTTCTTCATTCCTTTTTGTTTCTTTTTTTTTTTTTCTCTCTGACTGGGTTACTTTAAAATAGCTATCTTCAAGTTCAGAACTCTTTGTTCTGCTTGATTTAGTCTGTTGATGAAGCACTTAATTGTATTATTTTATTTTATTCATTGAATTTTTTAGCTTCACAATATCTCTTTGGTTCTTTTATATGATATCTCTTTGTGGATTCTTTTTTTTCATTCAGATCATGAATTGTGTCCTGATTTCATTGAATTGTTTGTCTGTGTTCTCTTGTATCCCACTGAGTTTCCTTAAGATCAATACTTTTAAAATTTATTTTCAGCCATCTTGTAAATGCTCCTTTCTTTGAGACCTGTTACTGGACATTGATTGTGGTGTCATATTCTCTTACTTTTTCATGTTTCTTGTGTCCCTACATTGATATCAGCACATCTAGTAAAATACTCACTGTTTCTAATTTTATGGAGTAGCTTTAGTGGGGAGAGTCTTTTTTCTGTGGTGGTCCTACAGTGTTGGTTGAGTATGGTGCATTGGTTTTGGTTATGGGTGAACTCAGTAGCATGATCTCTGTTTAAGCTGCAATCCTCACTGATGTCAGCAATTACCTCAGAGACCTAGGTTGTAGGAGCTTGTGATAGTGGTGTGGTTTTGTTGGGAGTGGAGGTACCAGGATGGTTGTCTAGCTCAATACATCCAGGTGCAGAGGGCTGACAGGCTGTTTGGTGAACAATCTGAGGAGATAGTGACCACTACTGGCCTGGCTGTCAAGCTAGGCCCAGGTATGGCTGCTTGTGTGGTGGTATAACTGTCTGGGGAGGCAGGGCCACCACCAGACCATCTGTTGGGCTGGGCACAGGCTCACCAAGCACAACAATGCTGGGTGGCCCGGCAGTGGTTTGCCTGGGGAAGCAGGTCTGCCACTGGACTGGCTGTGGCATAGTGGAGCCAGACTGCTTTGTAGCAGTCTGTTTTATAGAAGTGGGGTACTACAGGTCTGGCTGTCAGGCTGGGTGCAGGTGTGCGCAGGTGCAGTGGGACCTGGGACCAGGTAGCTTTGTGGTAGTCTGTCTGTGGGAGTAAAACCATTGCAGGATTGGTTATCAGGTTGAACATTGGTGTGCATGGGCTCAGCACGCCTCCCACTCTGTAGCATGAGTAGATGAGGGCAAGGCAGTTTCACTGCTATGTAGGTTCTCCTGTTCCCTGGAGAATGAGTGCCATGTGGATTCTAATGCCAGGTCTCAGTCACTCCATCTGGCCTATGCTCTGGGCAGCCATGGTAATGGTGCTGGAGACACCTGTGTAAATGTGGTAGCATGGCTGTGGGTATCAGGATAGAAAACATCAGTTGCTATTGATCCTGAGGGGACACACTCTAGTAGTACAACCTCTGTGTCCCAGTTAAAGCATTTCTCATGCCTCAGCCTCCCAAGTAGCTGGGATTATAGACGTGCATCACTACGCACAGCTAATTTTTTGGATTTTTATTAGAGACAGGGTTTCACTATGTTGGTCAGGCTGGTCTCGAACTCCTGTCCTCAAGTGATCTGTCCACCTCAGCCTCCCAAAGTGCTGGGATTACAGGCATGAGCCACTGCACCAGGCCTGCTATTGATTTCTAATTTAATTCTCTTGTGGTCAGAATATATTCTCTGGCCACAGGGAATTAAAAAGGGATATTACTTCAGTTCTTTTGAATGTATAGAGATGTTTTTAATGACCAACATATACTCTATCTTGGTGGATGTTCCATGTATACCTGAAAAAAATATGTATTCTGTAATTGTTGGGCATAGTGTTCTATAAATAATAATTAGGTCAACTTGGTTGATGCTATTGTTCAAATACTACATTGTAGTGCATTTTATGTCTACTTATCATATTAATTACTGAAAGAAGAGGATTGAAGTCCCCAAATATAAGTATGGATTTGGTTATTTCTCCTTTCAATTGTTCATATATTTTGAGGCTCTGTTAGGTTTGTATACATTTAAGATATTGTGCCTTCTTGATGGATTGACTTATTATCATGAAATGTCTGTAGTTGTCTGCTTCATTGGATATAAATATGACCACTCCACCTTTCTTATGATTAGTGTACGCATAGTGTATTGATTTCCATTCTTTTATATTTCATTCATCTGTTTCTTTACGTTAAGTTGGATTTCTTACAAAGGATATATAATTGGACCTTCCTACCTACCTTCCTTCCTTCCTTCCTTCCTTCCTTCCTTCCTTCCTTCCTGTTGGAGTCTCACTCTGTTGCCCAGACTAGAGTGCAGTGGTGCAATCACAGCTCACTGTAGCCTCCAACTCCTGACCCTCCCAAGTACCTGGGACTATATGCTCATGCCACCATGCCTGGATAATTTTTAAATATTTTTCATAGCATTGGGATCTTGCTATGTTGCCCAGTCTGGTCTCAAACTCCTGGACTTAAGTGATCTTCCTGTGGTGGCTTCCCAAAGTGCTGGGATTACAGGCATGAGCCACCATGCTCAGCTGGGTCTTTCTTTTTCATTCTGATTACAGTCTTTATCCTTTTAAAGTGATGTATTTATTTATATTTAAATTAATTATTTGTATTTGTTTTCTATTTGTCTCATCTGTTGTTTGTTCCTTCCTTCTTCTTTTTCTGCCTTCTATTGGATTGAATTTCTTTTAGCATTCCATTTTATCTTCTCTATTGGTCTATTAGCTATTCTTTTTTTAAAAAATATCTTCTCCAAGGTTTGCAATATGCAGCCTTAGTTTAACACAAGCTTCCAATAATGTTATACGACTTTGTGTAAAGTGTAAGATCTTGTTCTATTTTTTTTCTTTTCTTTTTTTGTTTAATTTTAAGGAGTGGAGAGTTTCATAGGCAAGAAGGAAGGGAGAAGACAGAAGGAAGAGGCTCCCCCACATACAGAGACAGAGGGTGGGGTACTCCAAAGCCAAAAGAGGGAACCCTTATTTTTTTCCTTATAATAACTTTGTGTGGGAGATAGCCCTGATACTTTCTATTGCTCCATTTTAGGTGAAATTCAGTTTCCTGAGCTTTTAAAATAAAGCTGCTTTTGAGAAAGTGCTTTTTAGCTTCATGAAGCTCCCTCTTCTGTTGTTTTGCATGGTATTAGAAATACGAAAGCTTGCTTTCTAGGGTTTCTTGACTCTTATTCCTTCATTCACTTTGGTCTAGACTTTCTCTTTGCATCACTGTTATGGTTCCTTCTGATGCCACCAACTCCTTCTGAGCTTCTATCTCAAGTTCCTCATCTACCCAGTGAGCTACCATATTGACTCTTTCAGCTCATTTAGCTGCCAGAGCTGAAGAACTCAGCAGAAGGCAGATCTTCTCTCCAGCCTAGAACTCAGTCCTAGAGAGGACAGGAAGGGCCCCTGGTTCATGAGCTTCCTGCCCAGGAGTTTCTGGAGACAGGGCCTCACTCCTTCTGGAAATGGCATTTTCACATCGAGTCCTATGTTCTCTTCCTGTAGGTTTCCCCCAGGAAGCCATGGGCATGCCCATCCTTTATGCCGGGCTTCTGGAAGACTCTCCTCTGGAGCTTTACCTGCTACAAATCTTCAGACTCTGTTAGCCAAAGCCCAGAGACTGCTGGCTGTAATGGGCTTGTGGTCCTACCACCAATTTTTTATACCAGGAGAGTCAGCCTTGCAATCCTAAGACCTGAGGCAGGAGCCTGAAGACTCAGGGGTTCAACAGGGGTCTTTCAATGGCACTTGGGGAGAGATGTCAAGAACCCCACTTCTGCTTTGTCCCAATTCTAAGAACTTGAAAAGAAATCCAGAGGAGATAATTGATGTTTAACATTTTAATATATTTGAGATACTAATGGATCCCTTTGAGGATTCATAAAAGGCAGGAACTCTTATTTTAGTAACACACACACAAGTGTGCGCACACACACGCCTTTATATACAATTTTTGTGCATTCATAGCTTCAGTTTAGTGATTCTTCTGTGACCTCACACTGCCTTCCATGGGTTGCAGAAGTGTAGGGATGGAGGTTTGTTGATCCGATTTTAAGTAGATGCTATCCTAGGCGGTTGGTAAGTCTTACTAAATTATACATGTAGACACGTTACATATATGTATTTAAAAGTCTTGTCTTTGGGGAATATTTAAAACAACTAAAATGGTAAAATCATTCCATTGTAGAAACCAACAGTTGCCACCAATTATTTGCAAATCTGTACAGGTCCGAGATTCACTCTGGACAGCCGAGAAACCTGGTGAACTCTTCTTTTGCCATGGAGACTGAGGACATTAAACAAGGGAGTTTACTCTGGGGGCAGTAGAAAGATCAGTGATCAGTTTACTTTGGCCCCAGGAGCACTGGACTCTCTTCAGCTTAACCAGCCACCTCTCACGGGCCCATCTGAAGGTCTTGGGACTTAACCTGTCTTGGTGAAAGAGCAATGGGAAGTCTAATCCTTAAATAATGTTGGAAGAAATTATGAATAACACTTTTCAAGAAAGTATGTCACAGGACAGTGGGGACAGCTCAGGCGATTGAGTCCATAGTCCTAGGTTCTAGCTTTCCATCTTGCTGGACAGCCTACCAGTTATGTCTGTCCTCCAGCTGAGCTCAGTTTTTGTCTCTGTAAAATCAGATCTCTCTACTAAATGGTCTCTCAGGGTGTGTTTTGCCAAAGGGCCCAGTAGCAATGGAGGGAGACATAAAGCAATCAGAGCCACTTCATTAGTTCACTGTGTATTTGGTATGTAGTCCATGTTGGGTGTTCTGTAATAATGATAGTTGTCATTACCATCTATTGGTGTCATTACCATCTATTGGTCAGACAGGGCAAGTACTCTAACAGCAATGTGAGTAATCTTCAGAAGGATAAGGTAGACATTTGTACTCCTATTACTAATGAGAAACAGAAGCTCAGAGTAGATGAGGAACTTGTCCAGTATGATGCAGCTATTAAGTGGTCTAACATCCAAACCCAGGAGTCTTTGACTCCAATGCCAAGCCCATTTTATTATTCCACAGATTGCATGTGACAATACGCAGTGAATGAATACACAGGTGATTATTAATAGAAGGTGGGCACAAGGAACTGGCATACAAAGAAAAAGTGCTGCTAAGATCTGTCCGCTCTGTTCTCTGTGATAGATTGCCTAGGGCTTAGAGGTCAGCATCCTTGCAGGGTCCTTGATGTAGTGAGAGCTGAGGGGCTGAACTCAGGAGCTGTGCACATGAGACTTAGAAGGGGAAGATGTTGGTCAGGATATAAATAAAAATTAGATGAAAAATGCTAAGGTGCTGGATACTGTACTAGGTGATTTGCAGTAACTACTAATTTAGATCTCACAGTAACTCCATGTAGCAGGCATTATGATCCTCATACTCTAGATGGGGAATTGGGGCACTGAGAGCTTAGGTGACTTGCCTAATTCACGGTCCATCCTGAAAGTCTTAGTGTATAGAAGTGAATGACCAAGCCATGCCACTGTAGTTTTAGTGGTGTCTTCAGTCAGAGAGAACCAGGTCCATGACCTCTTGTCCTAATCTGTGCAGTTATGATCCTCTCCTGTGTTTACCAAATGCCACTTCTACCAATGCTATGTTCCTGCCTTGCAGTGTGAAGATTATTTCCAAATTCAGTTCTGGGAATATACCCCACTTCTGGGGGCAAATTCATCTATCAGAGTTTCTTCTTTTATTTTAAAATCCAAATTCTTGGACACCTGTTGTCCCAGCGCACTTTATGCCATGCTCTCAAAATTTCACAGCCTTTCTTTCCACTCCCAAGCATCTACTTTGTCACCTGGGAGAGGGGCCTCTCGAGGAAGGGACTAAAGCAGCTCCTGTGACACATGCTGCCTATTTCACAATTTGGGCTGACATCATTCCTTCATGGGGCTCAAACCTCATGTGTCCCCATCCCTGACTGCTAACCTCCTTCCCATCTTTGCCAGGCCTGTCTAGGTGTCCTGTAAAAAGTGTGTCAGGGAAGGCCAGCATTCCTGAATGCCTTTGATCAGGGACCTTTGTTCCTTTACACACGAGAGTTCCCCGAGTGTGCTCGGCTCCAGGGTCAGTGGCCTCTCTAGCTGTCAGCCTCGGGGTCAAGTGGAGCTGGGTGAGGTTGAAACTATAGTGATGAGAAAAGGGGTTTCTTAGCAGGGTATATCTCTGTCTTAAAATGAGGACAGGCAGCTCCTATTCTCTCCCAGTTGTAGAAGAATGACTGAGTTGAGGAATAGGAGCCTGTAGCTTTGTAACATTGAACAATGTTGAATATCTCTGCTCCGTTTTTCCTCCAAAAAAAAGATGTCTTCTCAAAAGAAGACATTTATGTGGTCAACAAACATATGGAAAAAAAGCTCATTATCACTGGTCAATACAGAAATGCAAATCAAAACCATAATGAGATACCATCTCATGCCAGTTAGAATGGTGATCATTAAAAAATCAGGAAACAACAGATGCTGGAGAGGATGTGGAGAAGTAGGAACGCTTTTACACTGATGGTGGGAGTATAAATTAGTTCAATCACTGTGGAAGACAATGTGGTGATTCCTCAAGGTTCTAAAACCAGAAATACCATTTGACCCAGCAATCCCATTACCGGGTGTATACCCAAAGGATTATAAAGCATTCTACTATAAAGACACATGCACACATATGTTTACTGCATCACTATTCACAATAGCGAAGAATTGGAACCAACCCAAATGCCCATCAATGACAGACTGGATAAAGAAAATATGGCACATATACACCATGGAATACTATGCAGCCATAAGAAAGGATGAGTTTGACGGATCCAAGATGGCCGATTAGGAGCAGCTCAGGATTGCAGCTCCCAGTGAAAGTGCAGTGCGTGAGTGGACGCCACATTTCCAGATGGATTTTTATTGCCCACAGACCATGAGATTCCCAGGTGGAGGAGCCCCACAGGTCACCAGCACAGCTGTTTTGGCCAGTGCAGCAGATCTCCACACAAAATACACGGGTCTGAGCGCCATTTTAGCTGGTGATTGGAACTCCTGGGAGACAGAGTTGCCCATTCAACTGATAAAAAGGGGACTGAAACAGGGAGCCAGGCTAGGAGATTCCCAGGCAAAAAAGCGCCACAAATCTCCATGCGGCTGTTTCAGCTGGCGCAGTGGGTCGCTGCACGGGAAATCACACAGATCCTGGTGCCTTTTCAACAAGAGACTGGAACACCTGGGAGACAGAGTCACCCGTTCAACTAAAAAAAAAAGGGGAGGTCTGAGGCAGGGAGCCATGTGATCAGGCTCAGCTGGTCCCACCCCCACACAAAAACAGCAATCTGAAATGCTCTGGATTGAGAGTTTCACAGCAAGCACAGCTGAACAAGCACAGCTGAAACCAGGACAGTCCAGCTCTATGGGGGAGGGGCATCCGCCATTACCAAGGCAGTCCACCACTACGGAGGTAGTCCACCATTGCCGAGGCAGCCTGCCATTACAGAGAGAGTCTGCCATCACAGAGGTGGGACGCCATTGCCGAGGCAGTTCTAACTATACCCATATAAACAGGACTGCAGGGAAGTTCACATGGCAGCTGGGCAGAGCCCACAGCAGCTCAGCAAAGCCTCTGCAGGCAGACTGTGACTAGGCTGCCTCCTCGCTGGGCAGGGCAGCCCTGAAAAAAGGCAGCAGCATGATAGAAACTTATAAATTAAGCCTTAACTCCCCAGGAGAGAGCAGCTGGGGGAAAAAAAAGGCATTTATGAGTTCTGCAGCAGACTTAAATGTATGTGCCCAGCAGCTCTGAATGAACAACGGAGCTCACAGCTCAGCACTTGAGCTCCTATAAAGGACACACTGTCTCCTCAAGCAGCTCCCTGACCCCCGTATATCCAAAGAGTCACCTCATAAAGAAGAGCTCAGACTGACATCTGGCGGATATCCTTCTGGGACAGAGATAGCAGAAGAACAAACTGGCAGCAACCCTTACTGTTCTGCAGCTACTGCACGTGATCCCCAGGCAAACAGGGCCTGGAATAGACCTCCTACAGTAGTCCTACAGCAGACAGGCCTGAATGTTAGAAGGAAAACTAAGAAACAAAAAGAAATAACTTCATCATCAACAAACTGGACGTCCACTCAGAGACCCAATCTGAAAGTCAACAACTACAAAGATGACAGTTGGATAAATCCACAAAGATGGGAAGAAACCAGTGCAAAAAAGATGAAAACACCTGAAACCGGAACGCCTCTCCTAAAAGAGATCACAACTCCTCACCAGCAAGGGAACAAAGCTGGATGAAGAATGAGTGTGATGAATTGACAGAAACAGGCCTCAGAAGGTAGGTAATAAGAAACTTCTCTGAGCTAAAAGAACATGTTCTAACCCAATGCAAAGAAACTAAGAACCTTGAAAAAAGATTTGACGAAATGCTAACAAGAATAAACAGCTTAGAGAGGAATATAAGTGAATTGATGGAGCTGAAAAACACAACATGAGAACTTTGCGAAGCATATACAAGTTTCAACAGCTGAACTGACCAAGCAGAAGAAAGGATATCAGAGGTTGAAGATCAACTCAATGAAATAAAACGAGAAGGCAAGAAGAGAAAAAAGGGTAAAAAGGAATGAACAAAGTCTCCAAGAAATATGGAACTACGTGAAAAGACCTAATCTATGTTTGATAGGTGTACTTGAGTGTGACGGAGAGAATGAATCCAAGCTGGAAAATACTCTTCCGGATATTATCCAGGAAAACTTCCCCAACCTAGCAGGGCAGGCCAATATTCAAGTCCAAGAAATATACAGAACACTACAAAGATATTCCTCAAGAAGAGCAACCCCAAGACACATAATTGTCAGATTCACCAGGGTTAAAATGAAGGAGAAAATGCTAAGGGCAGCCAGAGAGAAAGGTCAGGTTACCCATAGAGGGAAGCCCATCAGACTCACAGCAGATCTCTCAGCAGAAACCCTACAAGCCAGAAGACAGTGGGGGCCAATATTCAACATCCTTAAAGAAAAGAACTCTAAACCCAGAATTTCATATCCAGCCAAACTAAGCTTCACAAGTGAAGGAGAAATAAAATCCTTTACGAACAAGCAATTACTCAGAGATTTCATCACCACCAGGCCTGCTTTACAAGAGCTCCTGAAAGAAGCACTAAACATAGAAAGGAACAACCAGTACCAGTCACTCCAAAAACACACCAAATAGTAAAGAGCATCGACACAATGAAGAAACTGCATCAACTAACAGGCAAAACAACCAGCTAGCATCAAAATGGCAGGATCAAATTCACACATAACAATATTAACCTAAATGTAAATGGGCTAAATGCCCCAATCAAAAGACAAAGGCTGGCAAATTGGATAAAAAGTCAAAAACCGTCAGTGTACTCTATGCAGGAAGCCCATCTCACATGCAAGGACACACATAGGCTCAAAATAAAGGGATGGAGGAAGATTTACCAAGCAAATGGAGAGCAAACAAAAGCAGGAGTTGAACTCCTAGTCTGTGATAAAATAGACTTTAAACCAACAAAGACGAAAAGAGACCAAGGAGGGCATTAAGTAATGGTAAAAGGATCAATGCAACAAGAAGAGCTAATGATCCTAAATATATACGCACCCAATACAGTAGCACCCAGATACATAAAGCAAGTTCTTAATGACTTACAAAGAGACTTAGACTCCCACACAATAATAGTGGGAGACTTTAACACTGCACTGTCAATATTAGACAGATCAATGAGACAGAAAATTAACAAGGATACCCGGGACTTGAACTCAGACCTGGACCAAGCAAACCTAATAGACATTTACAGAACTCTCCACCCCAAATCCACAGAATATACATTCTTCCCAGCACCACATCACACCTACTCTAAAATTGACCACAGAATTGGAAGTAAATTACTCCTCAGCAAATGCAAAAGAACAGAAATATGATTTCTAACAAACAGTCTCTCAGACCACAGGGCAATCAAGTTAGAACTCAGAATTCAGAAACTATCTCAGAACCACACAGTTTGATGGAAACTGAACAACTGGCTCTTGAATGATGACTGGATAAACAATGAAATGAAGGCAGAAATAAAGATGTTCTTCAAAACCAACGAGAATGAAGACACAACATACCAGAATCTCTGGGACACATTTAAAGGAGTGTCTAGAGGAAAACATATAGCAATAAATGCCCATATGAGAAGCAAGGAAAGATCTAAAATCAACACCCTATTGTCAAAATGGAAAGAGCTAGAGGAGCAAGGTCAAAAGAACTCAAAACCTGGCAGAAGATAAGAAATAACTAAGATCAG